GGAGCACGACGCAGGCGGGCAGGTCGCGCAGGTGTGGTCTCGGGGAGCATGGAGCCGAGGAGCACGACGCAGGCGGGCTGGTCGCGCAGGTGTGGTCTCGGGGAGCATGGAGCCGAGGAGCACGACGCAGGCAGGCTGGCTGCGCAGGCATGGTCTCGGGGAGCACGACACAGGCAGGCTGGCCGCGCAGGCGTGGTCTCGGCGTGGTCATGGAGGTTCAAGCCCTCATTCTAGCGCCAAAAATGTTAGTGTAAATAACCTTAAGCCGTGGCCTTGGGACCGACACGGCTTGGTTCGGGTCCGGATGACAGGGATCTCCCTAGGAAGTGCCTCAAGATTGCTGAGGTGGTCGATCCCGGTGTTCCGATTGGGATGGGTCGCTATCCTCTTCGGGCAAGAACTCCTCGCCTGCGCGTCCTATGGGGACCTTCGGCTTCGCACCTACACAAAGGTCGGGTCAGGGGAGCTCGGCCCGACCCCTCCGACGATCAAGTTAGTGAATAGTGACAGGGGGTTTGTTATCTATGTTGGTGTCCTCCTCCCCCCATTTTCCGTTTAGAATGCAAGGGTATTTATAGGGAAGCTTATTGTTTCTTGATGTGCCCGCTTGCAGGGGGCAGGCTCGTACTCCTGGTAGCGTTTGATACTGGTGTTGGCATGGCGTGAAGGACCGAGCTTGAGCAGGATGTTTAATGTGCCTCGGTTGGCGTTCCGATCTGTTTGACCAGGTGGTGTCAAGTCAACCGAGGCGTCATCTGGGGCAGTTGACGTCAACCCGAGTCTTATCGCTATTATTACCCTCAGGGAAGCCGTATTAATTTTATTTCGCCTAAGTTGAAATTTTCTTGATTTAGCCAAAATAAATTATGGGAGAGACTAAAGTGGATATTACTACAACTACAAAACTCAATTTACTAACTATGAGAACAGAAACTTGAGGTATTATTATTGTCTACTAAAAAATATGAACCAAAAAAGAAGTTAATTGATTGTGTTGCATTTTGTTGGGGAAAGGAAAACTTAAACATCAAAAGAAAAAATCAGTCATCAATAAATAAAATAATATATAAAAGATTTAATATTATTTAATATTATCATCTCACATGAATCCTACAAAATATGTTCTCTAAATATCTCATAAAAAAATATTATTTATCATATTTTTTTCTTCATCAAAATATATTAGATGTTTATAAAATAAAATAAAATTTTATTTTTAAGATTTTTGTTTTTTTAGAAAAATTTTTTTTACTAAAAAGAATACATTGATCTCAACATATTTTATCAAAATCTTAAAATACTTACCGATCTCAACACATTTTATCTGCATAAATCATACATTCATGAAATAAAACTCAAAACGGGTAAAAAAAATAGGCTAATTATATTACCCTATCGTGGTTAACTACTTTTAATATCTCGGTCTTATATTTTAAAAAATAACATTGGTATCTAGTGATGAGAGTGAAATATTTAAGTCGTTTTACTAATAAAAATATAAAAATAAATGATAAAAATATAATTTTAACGTTATATTTAGTGATGATAGACAATATTGGTGGTGGCAAAAGGCGTTACCGGTAGGGGCCATGAGTAATTATTATAAATGAGGAGAGGTGATGGTCGCTTTGCATTTATGTCACTCAATATCTACGTTGACATCAACGTATATGTAGAGTGACATTCACATTTCATCATTATTCTCATCATTCATAATAGTCACCTGTGGTCCCCAACAACATTATCGTCCACTATCAATTATATCGTTTGTCATCATCAATTGAAATATTAAGATCATCCTTTTACCATTTGTTTTCATATTTTATTTGATAAAATTGATGATGTTAAGATAAATAGATTTAAATATTTTATTTTTATAATTATAAGAATTTAATATAAAATTTTAAAGTATAAAAAGTGAGATGACGAAGGTAGCTAAATACAAACGTAATTTATTATCAGTCCTAAATTAACCTTAAAAGAAACTTAAAACCGGTAAGTGCCCGCCTTCCGAGTTCTCGAGATATCTCCATATCGTTCATCTCTCGGTCCTCTTCTTCCGCTAAATCCGATCTCTAAATGAACCCTAATGCTTCGAAATCCTCCGTCAAGTATCCTAATGCAACGCGCCGATGTCCCTCGTCTCCGACAGGTAGCCTGGACCGCCGTTTCTCGGCCATGGATCGGCACTGGACGAGCTCCGGGGATGTGTGAGTTTGAGAGCGATGGCTTCTGAATCTGAGGTGAGCTTGTTCCGTAACCCCTCTGTTTGTTCTATTGGTTCTCTGTTCCTTTCCCCCTTATTGGATTGGCACGCTGTCATGTTTGCGGTTCCTACGTTGATCTATGATCTAGTTCTCTTTCACTGCTTTCTATTTCATCTGCAGCTTTCTGTTGGGAAATCATGCTTGCTGACCGAGGCTATGGATTTCTGGCACTGAGAAGAAACATTTGATTGGAGAGTATATTTTCTTATGCGGTTCTAAAACATTCGCTGCTATCAAGTATATGTGCCACAATTTGGCATTCCTTTGGAATCTAGCTATCTGCTCTAATTGAGAGATGATCTTAACCCACCCTTGAAAGAGTTGTAGCATCAATCATTTTGACCTTAATCCTTTAAAGGCCGATGATTCTGCCACATGATAAATTTGCTAGAATCCCCTCATTAATAGCTTGTTAAAGATGATTGGAAATCCTATAAACTCCTTGATTGTAGGATTCTATTAGAACTAAATACGCCTCATCGTCACTCTTGTTCTACACCAGATCATGCTCTTCACAAGAGAAATGTTTTGTACTTAGACCACCTGTTCCAATATGTTCATTCAGCAAATTGTGAACTCAGTTATTGCAATTAAATGATATCCAATGACTTAGGTTTGTTGGTTGGGACTTACATTTGTTATCTTCAGTTAATTTATCTTTGAAGATTCAACTTCTTCATTTGCCTCCGGTAGATGTTCCAATATAACATGTTCTAAATTATTCAGTAATTTCAGGGACATAGTTATATGGAATGTGAAATTTCTATGTCATAATTCTAGTGCGATTACTAGGTAGGCCACTCAGCTAACCAATCACGATATGCATAATTGGTTCATTGTTTAGGTTTGCGGTCGCCTAAGGTTGCTTCTTACATCATTAGGTAATGAACCATCCATCTGATTAGGTCATTAATAGAAGGCTTGAAGACTATTCACTTGTTAAATTTTCTGCCTGCTTTTAAAAAAAAAAAGAGATTTTCTTTAAGGATTCCAGATTACAATTGTCTATGATTATATTTGTACTTGTTGGATAATGTTTATAAACATGAATTGTTTCCATGGGGCTCTATCATGAATTGAGATGAGAAACCAGGCACATAGTTCCAAGGGGATAGAGGAACAGTGATAGATAATGATGGTTTTTCTATTGCGCTCCAATCGGGCTCATATGTTTTTCTTTCCTGCCTTCTCGGATGGTGGCTTGTGACTCTGCTAAAAGTTACAGCATTCCTGTCTTTGCATTTCTGCTTAAACAGCAAAAGATACTTTGTATATTTATCCATTTATATTCTGCCAGTTTTACATTTGAAATATCTATCTTACAGTGGATCTGCTTCTTTTCTTAACTGACTTTTCTGTAGTAAAAGTACACGGTCAGTTCTAAAGAACATTCATCTCATTGCGGAAGGTATGCTTTCTTGTCTATTATGTACTTTAATTGCTTCTAGAAAAGTTGGGGGTTATTTATGATATCGAATTTATCATTTTGGAATATTTGTTGCTATTTTCACAAAGATATTTCTTTTGTTTTTTAGATTCAACATGTAATTTTGTGCAAAACTGCAGCATTATTAGGGTGTTTTTAATTTAGGTAAATTTAATTAAGCACAATGGTAGGCATGGATTTTATGAGAAAGGTTAAAGCGGGTGAAGATCTAGAAAGGTTAAGGTAGAAGATGTCGTAGCAATGGATACAATGGGGAAAACCATCACACAAACTAGGAAAAAAAAGAGAGAGAAAAGAATAAGAAATATGATCGATCATATAAAACTCAGATTCGTTCGGTAGATCTATGTTCGCATGCAGAGTCTCTCTATGGAAGAACAAGGTAATAGTTATCTAAAAACTTCTGAAGATTCAGAATCAAGTTTTAACGCCACCTGATATGCCTTTCTTAATCCCAACTGTTCTCTCTCTCTCTCTCTCTTACAGAAACTCTTTTTCATTGCTTCTTTTTCTCTCCCCAAATTCCACAACGACCTTATCCTTGATTACCTACCCTGTTTGATAGATATTTTAACCACAAGAAAAAAGAAAATAATAAATTAGTGTATTCAGGAAGAATTATGCAGCAAACTATTTCACTGGTTTCTTGTTTAAATTACAAGATACTATCTATGACCAATGTATTGGTGCTTCCCAAATTCAACATAGGCGAGAGCCTTGCAGACTGGACTTCTATGTATACTGACAGTAGGCATATTAGAAACAAGAAGGCTGGCTATATGATAAGTTTCCATAATACACTTGGTTTGCTACCACAATATGCGCTTTGCAGCGATTCTTGCACCAGCCATGGGTTTCAGGAGAATTAGAAGAGCAAACCCAAGTCCAAGCACTCAGGAAATCTGTGACTAATTTGTGGTCAGGAATGGGGAAGGATCGGGTGGCAGAGAAACTTCAACTGCTCCTTCCAGCATCTGAGTCACCTTCTGCATCGAAGGCCTGAGCGACGGATCCTCTTGGATGCACCAAAACGCTATTTTCACAAACCTCTCCACCTCCTCCATATCGGCCAGTGCGTCTTTGTCATGCTGCACCAAAAGATCCGCCATCCCATCCTTGAAACAATCGTAAGCCCAGTAAATGAGCACCGGTTCCTCCTCTTCCCCGATCTCTGTTTCCAAGTTCTTCCGGCAGCATATGATCTCCAGCATCATCACACCAAAGCTGTACACATCCACCTTCTTCGTGATCGCCATGCTCTTGAACCACTCTGGTGCTACGTACCCTCTGGTTCCCCTTATGCCGGTATTGGTTCGAGTCTGGTCAGCCCTCAGCAGCTTCGCTAACCCGAAATCCGAAATCCTAGCCACAAAATTGTCATCCAGGAGTACATTCTGAGGTTTGATGTCACAGTGGATGATCGGAGTGCTGCACTCGTCGTGCAAGTAAAGCAATCCTCTTGCGATTCCAAATATGATTTGGACCCTCTGCTGCCAATGCAGCTTTATATTGCCGAACAAGAAGCCAATCAACGACCCGTTTCGCATGTACTCGTACACCAGAAGTCTGTGCGTCCCTTCGTTGCAGTATCCAATCAATCTGACCAGATTCTTGTGATGAGTCTGCCCAATAGATCTCACCTCATTTATGAACTCCTTCTCGTTCTCGCGAAGCAGCCTATCTAACTTCTTCACCGCAATATTAGTGCTAATGTAGGATGACAACACACCTTTATAAACTGAACCGAAGGCCCCTCTTCCCAGTTCTTCTTTGAATCCATCGGTTGCTTCTTCAAGCTCCTTGTAACTAAAGACTCTGATATTAAATTCGGACATGCTGGTCTGCGGCTGAAACGTCGTACTCCTCCCCCTAGGGGAACCAAAGATCTTTGCAATGATCAACGCGATGAAGATCACATTAAAAAATCCAGAGCACCCCAGAAGCACTGCTCCAATCTGAATCAAAGTCTTCCTTTCCTTCTTCACCACAGATATAACTGGACCCGATGGCGGCAACAGGGAAGTATAATTAGTTTTCGACACTTTTATCAGTGCCGTCCTGTCGATATAGCTACCCAGCTTTCCATTCGACAGCGGCAGCTTCTTCTTCCAGCATTCCTTTCTGTCCCAGAAGATGGCAACCGCGCAGAGGCAATCCTCCAAACAGTACTGTCTGCACTGGTCTTCGTTCACGTTCGTGTAGTGCTCGTAATCCGAGAAGGGCCAGTCGGCGTTGTTTATGGGGATCAGGTTGAACTGAGCAGGATCGTATTGTTTGCAGATGGGTGGGAAGTCCTGGTCGCAACCTTTGTACTTCCGCTCCGGGTCGATGAAGGAGTACCCTGGTGGGCACAAGCAGTTTACCTCGCTCTGATCTCCGCCGGATCTGCAGTAACTGTTAAAGCCACAGGTGCCGCTACCAGCGCCGTCGGATTGAAGATCTTGGCAGATGTCCGCCGGCACTTTGGCCACCGCATTCCATTTCCTACTCCAGGATCCGGTCGCCCTGCCGCTCTTGGGGTAGATGTACTGGCGGAAGACGCCGTCGGGATCCAGCCTCGTGCGTTGGAAGAAGTCTTCGGTGGAATAGACAGAAGCCATAGTTACGTTGAGCAGAGTACCATTCGTGAGAGCGAAGTATATGCTGCCGGATTCGTTGTAGACGAGCTGAAAGCCGGAATCGGTCGTGTCGATGGACCAGTATGGATCGTATTGGTTTCCAGAGGGGATGGCCAGCGGTAGGAGCTGGAGTTCGCCGCTCGTTTGCGCCGCGAGCTCGAATCGGCCATCTGAGAAGTCGGAGTCGGTGAGCTGGGAACGAAGGTCGGAGCCCAGTCCCAAGACTTGACCCGGCAGGAGCGTGTCCGTAGGAAGATCGAAGCTCTGCCACAAGATGCCGCCGGAAGCAGTGAGGACGACGTTGCCGGAGTCGAGGACGGCGGCGGTGGAGGCGTTGGCAGGGCCCGCGCTCCACACTTCGTTTCCGCCGTCGTCCTTTAGGGAGAGGCGGCCGTCGCTGGTCAGCTGCAGGGTGGAGCCTGATCGGACAGGAGCGTCGCGGTTGGCGGACCAGACGACGGCTTTGGGGGAGGTGGACTCGAACCAGATGGCGACGAGGAAGAGGGAGGCTTGGGCGTCGGTGGGGTAGAATCCGAAGGCGAAGTCGCCGGATGGAGAGAGCCAGGAGCCGGTCGATGAGCCAGCCGTGAGGGTGGTGCCCTGCGTGATGTTGGAGTAGCTCTGGGCGGAGGAGATGGTCTGGGTTAGTAGCAAGACGAGGAGGAAAGTGCGAGTGAGGATGAGCGAAGGCAAGAGATAGGGAGAAGGGGGCGACGCCATCTTTCGTCGGTCTCTCGAGCTCTATTCTCTGCTGCTCGCTGGTAAGATCATCGGCCTACTGAAAGGAATTATTTGTTGGACGGCAAGAAACTTGCGAAGTCTTTCTCCGTCGTCGTTGACTTGAAGTAATCCCTGCATTGGTGTCGTAGAGGCCACGTCAAGAGAGGCCAGGACGTCTCAATCGTGCTGACCTGGTCAGCCAATTAGTGGGTTGAATAGTAAGCTCGCACGCTGATCACAGGATCTCGCATCCACAGGAATACTTAGCCGAGTTCGGAAGATGAGAGATCAGTGATCTGGATGTTTCCGTGTCGTGCTTTTAGATTCGTACTGGCGAAACAAGTGCTGTGCCCAAAAGAACGTCAAATCTCTGGGCTGATGGTTAAGCCTGATTGGAGAAAGGCTTTGCAACGCCCTTTGTCTATTCTAATTTTTATCTCTGTTTTCTCTTTCAATTTTTTCCCCTGAAAAGATTATATATTTGCTCATGAAAAATAAAAAAATATATATATATATACATATTTTTTATTTCAATTTTTATTGCAAGCCCCATATAAGAAACCACCATTTACAGGGAAGAGAAGAGGGGGACCCCCGGGAGCGTGGCACCTGCATCAACGATGAACACATTCCCATTCACGTACTCCGACGCATCATCGACCAGATAGCGGATGAGCGAGATGACGGAAGGATTCGCCGTGCCAAACGTCCCCAAAGGTACTGTCCTCCTCGCCACTTTACCGATCCATTCCTTCTCCATGAGACGCTCCGTTATCTCCGACTTGAAGATCCCAGGACACACCGAGTTCGTTCTTATCCCGTATCGTCCCATCTCCAATGCCATAACCTGCACAGGTTTTACGAGACTGAGAGGCTCATCTCCGGTTTGGATTATTCCTAAGCCGGTCGAAGGAGAAGTAGACATGGCAAGCTCACCCACGTGATGGAGTTCACGCCTGTCTTGGATGCAGTGTAGGCGAGCGATCCGGGCAGCTGGCCGCGTGCAACGCCGGCGATGGATGAGATATTGATCACCGCGCCCTTCTGCGTCGCATCTCGCATGCGTATGCACACGTGCTTCGACACCAGCCACAGCCCGGTTAGGTTGGTGGTCATGATCCTGTGCCACTCTTCCTCGGACCAGTCCACCGCCGAGTACACGCCACCTGAGCTCACACGCAGCGGACATCAGTAGAACGCTGTGGGATGCAGGAGATGCTTTCTCGAGCACGACAGTGTAACGATCAGAAATCGTTATGGCTAAAATTACCTCTAACTCCGGCGTTGTTCACCAACGCGTCGATGCGGCCGAAGGCGTTCCACGCGTCGTGCACGGCGGCCTCGATCGCGGGGCTCTTGCGGCTGACGTCGAGCTCCACGGCGACGGCTTGGACAGTGTTGGAGGAGCCGTTGATCTCGTCGCAGAGGGATTTGAGGCGATCGACCCTCCGCGCGGCGGCAACGATCTTGCACCCGGCGGCGGCGAGGTCGAGGCATATCTCCCGGCCGATGCCGGCGGAGGCGCCGGTGACCATCACCACCTTGCCCTTCAAGCTCCCCTGATCCATCGCTCCCACCTCTGCCGCCATGAACACCCTCGATGGTTCTAGGATCCTCCACGGAACCAGGATTTCCACTCGGACTAGACTCGCTGACTCGATTATCTACCCCGCCTCCGCTCTCCTTAAATAGCCGGTCGCTGGAACTCGTAGCGGCGGGCGATGACGGCTCCTCCACCAGATAGAGACATCACGTCACGGAAGACGCTTACGTGGAGTTCATACTCTTCGTCATAGAATACGTTGTCATAACTGCGGGATGGTCCCCGCCGTCGTACACTCGAGCGGCTCGCTTTTGCGGACGCGGTTTCCACGCAGGCAAAACTGCCCATCGGCCCTGTCCCATGATCTCAGCCGTCCATCTGATCCGGAAGGAGACGCGCATGGCTCTGTGGATGGTCGTTGGTGCGGCATGGGACGTCACGGGACTTCCCGAAAGAAGCTTTTGGTGATGGGCTGCGTCCATGTGCATGGGATTCAGAGGCTCTATTTTCGACGAATGGAAACAATCTCGGGGGCCCACATCGTTAAGTGGGTTGGGTGGGGCGAAGGTGTGAGGACTCGTACTGTGGGCAAGTAAAACGTCACGCCTGATGTCACGTGACAACGTCCGCCAGCTGTGTTCGACCCTGATAAGTTCCAGGGGTGACATCACCTGTGACGAGCCGGACTGCTCATGCTCCTTTGTGTTCCACCTTTTTGTTGTGGCTCCACCCATTTTTACTGATTTGATGCTGTGGAGGGTGGAACAATTTTTTTTTTCTTTTGGAAGGATTTTAAGATTTTTGTTGGTCATTGGGGTGGTGGTTTTTTCCTTCTATTATATTTTGAAGATCATGTACATATGAGACACCATAGTTTGGGTAAAATAATAGTGACATTATTTTCTATAGGATTACATATGATATGAAAAAAATATATGAACCACGAACCACATGGATCATTATTATCAAATCAAAACGAAAAAAAAAATGATATTCTTCCAAATGATTCATATTTGAGAAATCTTCCATGCAACAATAGTTCTTTAAGTTAGCAGCCATAAAACCTTCCGATTGGAAATCATATGGCTTCACAAAATTCCATCATATATATGAACCAGTTTACATATGTATAAACTTCTTCTCTCATGTGTAAATGATTGCATGCATGCATGAAGTCAGTTCAGTACAAGAAGATCTCAACCATTTCACCAAGTCACGCTTTCTCATGCACACCAAATGGATGAGCAGCCAACCAGCCCTCAGTGAGTGCCTCCCAGCTTTCGTGTGCATACCTACCTCATGCTCAGTAAGGAGATCCGATGATGTCATTGCTTTGGAATAGAGCTGCTAGTTTAAAGCATACAAGACTTTTTAAGTAGTGAAGCTGATTGATACTTGAGAATTGAGACATGCAAGATAGACACTTTTTTTTTTTTTAACACAAGAAAAGCTCTAAAGTTAATGTTATTATCAGAGAGTTTTAATCTTTTGATTTCATTATTTTCATGTTGTGATAATTTATTATTTTCTCTATCAATGTGGATAAAGATTATAAAATTTGATTGTTATTTTCCAACATATTTTTTTTTAATATCAAGATATCCTCCTCTTAATATGTTTAAAATGATGAACACATTGATTGAATCAATGTACATCCATCCATCAGACTCTAATTTGATATATATAAAGCAGTGATCTCATGTCTTGACGTGCCCTTTGATCTTGACTCTAATACTAGATTAATTTTTGTATCAATTGTCAATTTGATGAGACAACTAACTCTTATCAAATATCATGATCAGATATGATAGAATAATTAACATATTAATTTCATTGAAATTGAACTACTGACTTAAAATAGTTAGGTTGAATCTTAGTCTTAATATACTTCACACTAAATCCGAGTGTTGATGTTACTACTCGTTTGCTTTGCTTTCCTCGTTCTAAAGATCCTCTACGCAACACCATCCTTCTCCTTTCAACGTAACATCCCATCCTCAGAAACACCAATTGCTTGAGTGGCAAAAGTCGTCACAAAACCTCCCCGTGAGATCCCTTACGTAAGAGGAGATCGCTCTTATCCTCACAAGCAACTTTAAGACATGTAAGAACGGATCAAATCGGAAGTATGAGGAAAGAACACAAAGCTCTCTTTGGAAGATGCTTATAAAGGCCATGGTCTCCAACTGAGTAGCTGAGCCTGATGTGATGGCCAGGCAATACAGTGTAAAGCCCCTGCAGTCTTTCTATGGCTTGGGAGCGGAATCGCCATGCCCAAGCTCAACTTCCTTCAAGATCAGAAGCCTGCTCAAGGTCTACCTCCTTCGACACATCTCCCATGCCAAGTCCATGGTCGCGGAGCTTCTTAAGAAGAAGAAGAAGGCCATCGACAGCAACCGCGACTTTAAGCTGAGGAAGACGAAGAAGAAGCTCTTCGGCTTCTTTAAGCTGCACCGTAGCTGGTCATCCTCGTGCGTGACACCCATGCCGCCGCAGCTTCCCATCTCGGAGTTTGATGACTCGACGGTGATCTTCACCGAGGACAGCGCTGGTGAGGCGGAGCCACCACTCGGTGGGTGCCTCGACTGGCTCGAGGACGAGTCGGAGGCTTCGGGAGGGGATACGGGCGAAGGAAGCGAGATCGATCGGCTCGCGGAGAGGTTTATAGCGAGGTGCCATGAGAAGTTTAGGCTGGAGAAGCAGGAGTCGTACAGGAGGTACCAGGAGATGCTTGCAAGAAGCATATGAGACTGTTATGTTGCAAGAAGCTGTCCATCGGAGAATGTTTCCGGTGAATAAAGTTTGGCCATTAGAGGACGTTGTTGCAGTTTACGTTCCACAAATGAATTTTTCTGAACACCTCTCTCTCTCTCTCTCTCTCTCTCTCTCTCTCTCTCTCTATCTATCTATCTATCTATCTATCTATCTATCTATCTATCTATCTATATATATATATTCTATGACTGAACAACTTAATCTCTCTCTCTCTATATATATATATATATCTTTTATGGCTGTTCTATAACGATGTTTTGAAGATTCTAGTGCATAGATTAAACAGGTAATGATTAAAATAATTTGTATATATTCTCTTTTTCTTTTGTACTTGATCTTTGGAGGAGTAGTTCATGTAACTTTTAGGCACATCAAGAATCTTTTTAGTGGGAAGCTTCAGGGGCTAAGAGGGATAGGAATCATCTTTCATAACCATCACCAGTGATGAAGCGTGTTAGATTCCTGTAAGCAACCAACAAATAATTACATGGCATGCGCTAATTAGTACGTACTAAGCCTAATCAAACCATACAGCTTGAGGGATTACAGTGTACTGAATGATTAAAGGCGATCTGCAGCCTGCTGTTTGGACAAGAAGTTGTCAAGGAGCTGTTGAGTTAGCAATTCATATCATCCATAAACCACACACAACATGACAGGAAATTGACATCGACCCTTTTATCTAATGCATCACTTCCCAGAGAAAGGTTGGAAGGTTTCGATTACAACACAGATTAACCACTGGTTAAGCATAGAAACGTAAACTAATAAACAGAACGGGTGATGCATTCGATAGCGCTATCCTCATAATACATTATCGGAGTAAAACTTTTTAATGGTATATACAATCAGGTTTGAGTATATGGCAGTTATGCCCAATCAAATTCATCCTCAAGATGAGCATGATAGCATGCACACACCTGGTCTGTAAGCCCATGCAGGCGGCAACCGTGCATACTTCTCCATTCCCGGTTGATCATCGTATGGGTGCTCCATGAGTTTCAGAAGCCTGCGAACCTCCCCATAGTCGCCTTGTTCAGCTGCATCGATGGCGCTTTGGCACAGATAGTTCCGGAGGATGTACTTTGGGTTAACAGAGTTCATCGCGGCCTTCCGTTCATCGTCCGACGTACCACTAGCAACCAACTTCAGAAGAAAGAAAGCAACCATCAGGAAAGAGTGAAATACGCATGCTCATAGCTTCAGAGACGCCCATGCAGAGCCCGAACCACTAAGCAATGCACCAGCCTGGCTGTGGGCCCAAGGGTGTTCCATGGGATGCAATACTAGCAGGGCCCCAAAATATTATGTTATCATATATAACCTAACAAAGTTCAGTCTGTTTTCACTTGCATCTTAATACAATCGGCTTTAAGCAAAGAATACAGCTAACCTCAAAACCATCAGACTGAAGGAAGTTCCTATATGCATAATAAATACACGTTTCTTGCCATGTTTTTGCCAGATTCACTTCTTTGTTACCATATGCAATCATCAAAGCATATTTGCAATGTTCTTTAGGAAGACTCATGCACTTCTTTCCTCCACTCCATCATACATTCAAATCGTGAAGTGAAGAGAAATAACTTGCCTAGCTGCAAAACTTAAATTTGGCAACTCCTCTTTCCGCATGGGATGTATTGCTATGTCCTTAAATACCTCATAAAATCCACATGCCATTTGATTTCAACATACGTTGCCATGCTTATCTTAAAACTTCCACCTTGCTCCTTGTTGAGATTCTTGCTGTATCCTCCACCCACCATCACCACTTCTCCTAGTCTACCCTTGGTTACTCACCTTTATACTATAATTGAATGTTACCAACCATTCTTGCCCCCAATCTATAACTAATAAGCTGAACTGTTGAATTAAATTCCTAGGCTAAGCGGGTTAGGACTTCATTCTTTTGAACCTGAAGTCAGAAGACCAAAAAGAAAAAAGAGGACGAGGATGACATGGACATGTGCTACTATGAAAAATCAGAGTAAATGTATCAACCAAATGAAAATCATACCTCTTCAATATAGGTTTGCACCCAAGTGGTCCATGCCTCCTTCCGCTCCTGGCCAATGTCCAACAAAGCAGCTTTAAGAGGGACGAGGAGCTCATTTTTGGGAGTACCAGTGTCCGCTTTTATATTTGAAAGCAACCGAAAGAAGTTTGTGTAATCAACTTTGTCAACAGCCATGTTGTTGAGAAGGGTACTTATAAGTTGTTTATTATATTTGGATAAACCTAGTTTCCTGGTCATTATGGACTGGTATTCGTCCATGAATTTGTCTCCATATCTGCAAAAAAGATGAACAGCCTAATGTCAACAATCAAACTACATGTTTTTCAAAACATAATCAACCACATTTTTCAAAATATAATCTCATCATAAACTAAAAAAATTACCTTTCCATAGCATAGTTTGCCTCCTCTTTGCTGATCAATTGTGCAGCCGATAAGGTTGCAGTAAATTGTGCAATATTCCACAAGCCAATATCAGGCTGGTTTGCAAAACAGTACCTCCTCCCAGGAAGGTCTGTAGTATTTGGAGTATAACTTGGATCAAATGCATCCAGAAAACCAAAAGGCCCGTAGTCAATGGTCAGACCCAACACACTCATGTTATCGGTGTTCAGAACACCATGGGTGAAGCCAACTCCTTGCCAACTGGCAATCAAGGAAGCAGTGCGCTCAGCAACCTCGACTGACCAAGCTGATAAGATCCATGCAAAAAACAGACGGTCAAATATTTAAGTATTTCCAGAAAATATTGACATTTTTATTCATAGCATACAATATTTGACAGATTTAGAGATCAACCTTAGCAGATGCACATATGAAGAACATTACCTGCATACTTGTTAGATGTCAGATCCACTATCAAAGAGCCCTCGACACCGACCTCAAAAGACAAGTCATCACTTTTGCTCATTTTCTCAATATGGGGAAAATGATGGCAAATTGTGTAATCTGCCAAAGTTCGAACAAGATCAAGGTCTTCTTTTCCCCTAGAGGCATGAATTTGATATGAACCAAAACGCAAGAAGGACTGAGCAACACGGCAAACAATTGCACCAGGTTCATCCTTAGGATTGCCGCTGCAAGGCCCATGAGCATATATAAGGATGATAACATAACAGAGAAAAGCTAAGAATTTAAGATAAAATATGGATATTTAAAACTCACAAGTAGAATCACAAGGTTTATATGAGAGGACCTGAAGTCTTTAAAGTAACAAAACCCGAATATTCTGTCTATGCATTGTGCTCTTCTGTGAACTTTCATAAGTAAAAAATGCTACCATCACGTACCTCATATTAAAAAAAAAAAAAGATGACAGGAAAAAACAGATCCATTTGGAAGGATATGCCCAAAGATGTAACTGTCTTCTGATTTGTGCTACTATGAAGTAATAGTCTATTGACCTGGGATCACTACCCTGTGATTCTAAATAGTATCAACTGTGCTATAACCCCTTCATGAAATGTGTGTAGTGCCATTTGTTAGATGTACAGAGGAAAAAGTAGCCATAAAAATGTTCAACAGTAACATACTCGTAAAACATGTCTCGACTAACAAATTTGCCAGTGGTAACAAGAGAGAGTGCACGAGTAGTGGGAATTCCTAGTCCAATCATTGCCTCACTGCAAAGAAATTCACGAATGCTGCTACGAAGGACTGCCAGACCATCTGCAAATCGGCTATAAGGAGTCTTCCCAGCACCCTTAAGCTGCAATTCCCATCTTTTGCCTCGAGAATTTAGAAGTTCACCAAGAGTAATTGCGCGTCCATCCCCTAGCTGACCAGCCCACACACCAAATTGGTGACCCCCATAGCACTGTGCATAAGGTAACCTACAAAAGATAATAATTTAGATCATCATCACAGTTGAAGCTGAGAGAAAGGTACACGACCAAAGTTTATCATTTAATACTAACCCTCCCTTTAGAGGTAATGCTCCAGAGAATATTAAAGGGAAATCAGGACGCTCAAATCTGTAACCATACATGAGGGTAGAGTCAAAATAGAGCTCCATTGAAATAACATATTACCCGAGAGAACTAGTCAACAAATCCATGCAAAGCCATCTAAAAATGGAACTATCCAAGATTCCCAAGTGTCTTTAAATAATTGAAGATGAAAAATAAATCTTACGAGTCAAAATATTCTTATATATGCTTTAGGCAATAGATTCAGGCAACTACAACGTAGTATGGATGATGTGATCCAGGTACTGGGGAATGAGAACAGATGAATAGGTATTTGATTCCTGGGGAAACTTGTACGTCAAGTCATCTTATTGCAAACCAACCGAAGATGCAAGACATGACACTTGAATTGCCAAATAGTTAATGTAACATGAAACGAACGTGTGATTATGCAGGTTTTAGAGAAAAGTCTAGATTTGAGCAATAATTTATCTAATTGGTGAAAAATGTCGATTACTTAGCTGAAAATTTTACATATTTTAGAATTTAAACAGCTGTAGAACAGAGCTAGTCAAGATGCCCACTCTTTTGGATCCAAATCAAGCAATTCAGCAACTGATTCTGACCAAGCTACAAGCTCAGGACTTTCCACTTCCGCAGATGGAGATACTTTACTGTAACATGCATGAAGCACCTGAAAACCATTTGAAAACAGATCAGCTATTTTCTAAAGTTCAAATATTAGCTGCAAACAGAAACTTGTTATTGTTGGTCAAACATATGCTATTATGTTTAAAAGAAAGCTAACTACAGGAAACAAAATTATATTATTAATTATACCAGTTGGAAGATCGGTAACTCTGAGATGTGTTTTTGAACAGAAGGTGGATAATATTATAGTCAACAAGAATTACCACTCCACTACCAGATATTCTTTCAAAATAATACTCATTATGCAAAGATCTTCAAACAACAACCCATGTGTGTATCTCTCATTAAATCTTTCTCGATGCCAATTAGGTAGCTGACAAACAAAGAGCACAAAACTTTGTAAAATCAACGTATCTCTGCTGATACAGCAAGAAAATATCCATTAGAGGACTTTCAGCTTATTTTAGTTATGTGGAAATCTTCAATTCAAGCTTATTAAAATCCAACGTGATGGCTTTCATAAGTACTATAGAAAGTTTAGAAACTAGACTGGGGCTTAGGAGACCTAGAAAGCAAACAAACAAGGAAATGAAACAATTTCTCCTGGATGCTTTATCCAGACCGGACAGCGGCGAAGAACATGGGCAAGAAAGGCAGAACGATAGCACAAGATACCGGATCGATTGCAGCCAAACATAGATTAAGCTTAAGGCGCTAAGAAATTCAAATATGTCTTTGATTTGTGTATGCTTCTTATTTACATGTTGCATAAGATAAACCAACAAAAGAAATTATAACTTCTGCACATATACAAAGCGTAGACAGGATGGCTAATTTTTTTACATGGAAAATAAAATGTGTGGTGGAAATTGCAGGAGTAAACACGTCCTGCAAATGAAATAAGTAAAAACATCCACGCTCCAGACACTGACACATCTTAAAAAACGGTTCTTCTTAGATGAATTAGGACCACGACTCTATTCGTCTAAGTGTCGATCTTGATCGAGAAGGAAGATCCAAACCCACTAGGTCGGCGTTGCGATCAAAGGGTAATATTTTTCATGAATTATTCCCGCAAATAAGTTGAAATTGATCAATACACTAAAAACAATAAGAAGAACATTCGGAGACAATAGCGAGTGAGTCCTAAAACAATCAGTGTAAGGAAGAAGAAGTACCTGGCGAGGGATCGTATCGGATCTTGGATCACCAGGCAGCTCCCGCACGAAGGAGTGGTCCCAATTAAACTCCTCGAGCTTCAACCGCACGCCCTTTCCGCCATCGGCGAGCGCGGCCGGAGATTCCGCCGCCGGATCCCGCGCCTCCGTCTTGGACTCCATGGAATGGCTTCGTGATCCTCCGATCTGTCGATCGGGTCTCCGAGAACCCCGTCGCTCCAACGGCCGCCGATTCAGGTGCCAGCCCCAGCGAAGAGCGGATCGAGAGATTGGGCTGGAGAAGAAGGTCCTGGTAAAGGCGGCGAGAGGAGGAACGTGACGAACGAGGGGTAGAAAGGCGAGATGGCAGAGCAGCATGGCCCCTTTGGGGTGTGAAGACTCCGCCCCTTTTGTAGGAGTCGGCGTCTCGTGCGATGCGAGCGGGGAGCAGAGTAATCGTTGCTGCGGTGGTCAAAGCTCACGAGCTGGCGCTCGCACGGGCGAACCGAGCCTCGGCCCGCACGTGCTCTTGCCGTCTCACGATCACACATATTGGCAACGAGGAATTAAAGGGGAAAAAAACAGGGAAAAATAATTAATCGCAAGAGGGTTCCCCAAGAACAACGATGGCTTAAACTGTTCCACCATGTGACTCGAAATATCGAATTAAGGAGAACAAGGGAAAATTAATTACTCACAACATTATTCTAACATCGAATTATGGTCCTAAATTCATAATAAAAAAAAATTAATATAGTTGTTATTATAATCATGTTCGAGGGGAGTTGTAAAAGTTCGAGATGCTTTTGTCGAAGTTGATCTGTTACACTCGAAAATAATCTAACGTAATATATCTCAAAATATATCAAATTTGATTATTATTTTTAAAAAAACCTCTACTAAAATATTTGTTATGATTTTGTTCTATTGGAGTTGTGAAAGTTTAAGACCGTTTGTTGGAAGTTAACATCGTTAGTACTCAAAAATAAATAAAAATATATTAGTTCACAAAATAAAGTAAAAACGTGTCAACTTTGATAATTAATTATCTTATTTTTTATAAAATAAAAATATATAGTTTTTTTTCGAATCATGATTTGGAAGAATTACGAAAGTTTGAGATAGTTTGATTAAGGTTAACTCGTTATTACACCCATTCAAAAAAATAACTATAAATACATCAAATTATATATTTAATTATCCTAACTCCATTACATTTTAATAAAATTATAAAAGTTTGATATATTTGATTGAAGTTGACTCCATTACACTCCAAGAATAAATTAAAATTACACTTGTTTATAAAAACATATCAAATTATAATTAATTAAATTTATCAAAAAATAAAGTACATTAAAATATTTTATAGATTCATATTGCAGTAGAATTATGAAAGCTTGAGGTTGTTCGACAAAAATTGATCAAATATACTAAAAAAGAAATTAAAATACACTCATTCTACAATCAGATTGTAGTTGAGTTTAAAATAGAGTGTCTTTAGATAACCTTGTCTAAAATATTTTTAACTTTTATATTTTTTGAAGAATTTAGAAGTATTATTTTTAAAATTTTAAAAGTATTTTTGAATAAATAAGGGATAAAATGGGAAGAAAGGAAGAGAGAAGTGTCTAAGGAGTAGGAGAAAAATAACTCAAAAAGATAAGGAAAAAAAGAAAACTAGACCACTTACCTTCGTGTATATAAGGCTATCTTCGTTCTTAACGAAGTCACAAGATCTGTTTGCCTCATCAAATCTTATATTCTAATTTTGAGAAGCTTGCTTTAGTTCATAAATGGACCTAAGCAACCTATACATCTTATCTAGATAATCCTTGGACACGAATCTCTCATGTTATATCATATACATCTTCTCCTCGAGGTTATCATTGAAGAATATGATTTTCATGTCTATCTATTAAATCTCATAATCATAGTGTACTGTAATAGCTAATATAATTCATATGGATTTTAACATGATTGCAGGTGAAAAGGTTTTGTCATAGTTAATACATTGGCTTTGATGATACCCTTTAGTCACTAACTTTGCTTTATAGGTATCTACTTTTCCATCTACTTCGATATTCTTCTTGAAAATCCATTTACAACCGATGGGTACAATATCATCAGATGCATCAATTATGTTTCAAACATTGTTGGATTACATGAAATCTATCTCAGAATTCATGGCTTATTGTCACTTCCCGAAGCCTATACTCATAATAATCTTTTCGTAGATCTAATGATCAATATTCATGAGAGTTTAGAAATATTGACTCAAATAAAATCAAATCAATAGGAAAAAATAATAACACAAATTTCTCCTTATTCCTAACAAAAATAAATTCATTCAAATAGGAAAAAAAATCTTGCATAAAAATGATTATGAGCAATGCGAATAATAACTCAAAAGTCAAAATGTTAAAATAAAATACTTAATTTGTAAGAAAAAAATCATATTAAGTGAAAAAAAACTCGGGGATTCATAGTGAAGTCAAAAAAAAAAAAAGTCACGAATCAAGAGATTATTAAAATAAAATATTATTTTTGATGCATTTCGTGACTCTAAATTATACTTGTCAATATTACATCAATAGCGTGAATTTAATTATCACTTGTTACTTATCAATTAATGTTGTATTCATCATTACTGTATTTTTAAATATTTGTTATGTTTCTTAATTCAAATTAGTCGATGTTTCTCACGTTTAGAACGGATGTTAATGGAGACGATCCATTCGGAAGGGCACGTACGATGTTTTCGAACCGTGCAAGGATAAATACGTAAAAGTAGAAACAACGCAAACTCGCTGGAATCTCATTCGGATTCGGATCTTAAGTGAAATCCGGCTCGTTAGCGATATCCCCATCCATTACCCGTAATCCCCGCCCTCGCGTATGACGGGACTCAAAAAATATACGCATCCTCTCATATAAAGCGTTGGAATCCGCCTTTTTACGGAATTCCGTTTCGAACCCTCCCTCCCCCCTCTTTGCTTCCCGTCGCCTCCTCTGCCTTCCCCTCGCCTCCGATCCCTCTCGACCCCCCTCCTCCCCCATCCCTAATTACTTCTCGTTCGATTCGGAATTTCGATCGACTTCGCGTTCTTATGCTCGTCTTCTCGTGAAGAGCGGAGGGAAATCGATTTAGAAGCGGCGGTTCTCTCTCTTTTCTCCGCAGGAAATTTGTTCTTGGTCTCTCTTCCATTTCGACGTGATTGCAGTCGTTAGGGTTCACGCGGTGGAGGATTTGGTTCCGAGAAGACCGACATCATGGCGTTCGATCCATCCGATAGCAGCGGTGAGCGTTACTTGGCATTCTTGATCCGATTCGTGATTTAGGGTTTTGTATTTGCGTTAAAAATCGTTGGCTCTCTTTGTGCGATATCGCTCTTAACGAAGTGGTGGTGCTGCAACTCCGTGGATCAGCTCTGTTTGCTAAGAGAAACGCTAGGTTGGAGAATTAGGGTTTTGAGTTTGATATGCGGCAAATACTTGGGTCGTGTCGTAGAACGGAACTGTAAACTTCGTCTTTCAGCATGTGCTTCCTAGGTCAGCGTTCCGTTTCTTTGAACATCTGTTTACGTAGGGGTTTGAGATTCTTATTGGGTGTAGAAGATGTTTTTCTTTTGCATTAAAAGACTCGTAATATATGAAGTTGTTGAAGATATCAAAGTTAGGGCTGTTGTGTAAGATATGCAGCAGCATGAATTGCCATGCTGTATATTGTACTTTTCATTCGCATGTTGAATTCAGTAATTGGTTCAATGACAGAAAAGCTACATTTGATTCTGTAGGATATAGACAGATGAGTACAGTTAGAACATGCATGTCAAATTCAAGAGTTGATTGGAAGTGTCTGGAAATTTTATTTAACTCTTTGATTATGTGATCATGTCAACTTCTGATTATAATTTGGTTACAGCAAGTGTTAAAGATCTCCGGACTCAAATGTCATGCTGAGAGCGCAAGAGCTATAAATAATTACTATATTCATTTTGCATTCAGTTATTTCTGTTAAAATATTTTGGTTTCAGTGCAGGATTCTAGTTTTCTCCAGGTTTCTAGTCCTGATTCTAGAGGAAACTGATGGCCATTTGTTGCTAATTTTGGATGTACACATTGATGCTTGTTTCATGGAGTCTGGATATTGCATAATTTGTACAGCAGAATTGTTGTTTGTAAGACTTAAAATTGTTTTTATGTTTCTTTTTGGCCCTTGCAAGCTTTTTTACTGCTCTAATATGATGAGCCTTGTATTTTGAGATTTCACATTAGATGATTGTATCCCTAACAAACACAGTCTTCGATGGACTTCTTGAATTTGTTTTGATAATAGTTAAGTATCCTTCAGTCTAGACTTGTTTATGTCTTCTAGTAAATTGCAAGAAGAAGCTAAATATATGGGTGATAGATGGGCCAAGTTTGATCCAGCTTGCTTGTAAATTTAATTTAAATTTTGTTGGGTAGATAGCAGCTCAATTTAAGCTTGCATAAATGTTAGAGGAACCAAACTTGAACTTGCAACCTGGTCTTGAGCCCAAGCTACCCTCAAGTGCAATAATCCATATATTTAATTGGCTTACTTGCAAACATTGGCTTTACACTCTTTCCTGTGTTTGCACTTTGTTGGCAAGACCGAGGATGTAAGCATATGATAAATAAGAACTTCAGAGTGATGCCTTTGATGATGAGACAGGCTTAGATGAAAGATTCAGTTATTGTGGAAGCAGTAAGGCATATGACATATTTTTTCTGATTTTGTGCATATTTCTTATAAGATCCAACAATTATTTATGATGCGGCTACAATTTGAATATCAGCCTACCACTGTAATTGGAAGCTTTAGTAATGGAACTTAAGTCTACCACTGCCCGATTGCATGTATCTTTTTCTTCATCTAGTATTTGTAGATTAATCTCAGGAAATTTGGGGTGTAGTAGTCATCAGCTCCTCAAGCAGGATGGAGGTCTAGATGATGCGAAACTTCAACTGTTGGTGTGGACATTATTGTATATGTTATTTGTCATGAAGAAGGTTTGATCAGTTGCAAATAAGTAGCCTTGGTATGCCAACTTTGTTTTTACCAGCTTAATTTAAATGGCACCATTTTGCGCTTTTTTCGCCAAGACGCCAACTAAATGCATGAGTATTCACAGACCTTCCAAAGCTATTCACTGTGCAACATATTTGCTCAGCTTCTTTTACACATCTCCTTTGTGATAGGATGCATGGAAGCTGATGCTACTGATTTTGTCGTTGCTATTTGGCTGCAGGAACTGATGATGATCTTCCACCAACTCATCAGAACAGGGGCATAAGAGGACATGTGACTGGTAATGGAAGAAATATTGTTGGTGCTATTCCCTATGCTAGGATGCAGAATGATATGGAGTTTCAGATACATCGAATCGAGCAAGAAGCATACAGTTCAATTCTTCGAGCATTTAAGGCTCAATCTGATGCCATTACTTGGGTATCTATAAATTGACCATAACTGACCTTATTATTGTTGATTTCTTTTGCTTTTTACATGCAAATCTTAGTTACAAGTTGGCTTCATGATGGAACATATACATTCAGGAGAAAGAAAGTCTAATAACTGAACTGAGAAAGGAGCTGAGAGTGTCAGATGAGGAACACAGAGAACTATTAAGTAGGGTCAATGCTGATGACATAATTCGAAGGATAAGGTTTGTTAAGGAACAGATATCTGAAATTTTTGGTTGAAGATATGTTTTTGGCTTTGTTCCTTTTCCAGCTATAAGTTGCTCTTGTGAACTATTTCTTAAATAGGGAATGGAGGCAAGCAGGTGGGCTCCAATCTGGAGTGCTTAATAATGTTCAACCAGATGGTGGCAGGCAAGCACCAAGCCCCACCATCTCAGCTTCTCGGAAGCGGCAAAGAACGTCACAGCCAGCACGTTCTTTGTCTTTGGATGCACCATCTCCTGGTCTGTACTCACAGCCTATTGCATCTTCCATGCAGCCGTCGTTATCGACTGCAAAAAGGGTAGCTGCAACAGGAGCGAAGGGCAAAAAACCTAAATCGGTGAGTGGTTAGGATGGTGAAAATGTACGTAAAATATTTGTTTCTTAATCCCGTATATTATTTGAATATTCTTACAGTTGTCATATGCCATCTGTTAAATTTATACTTAAATTGCAGGGTCAGGGATTGCCCAGTGCATCTTCGATGAAGTCCATGCAGTATTCTTCTGCAGGTCCTAGTGGAAGGGGCCTAATTGCAAATAGGAACTCTTCTGGTGCTCCTGTTATAGTCGAACCAGCTAAAAAAGCACCATATGATCCACTAATTGGGCGAATAGTCATGACTAGGTGGCCCGCAGATAATCACTTTTATGAAGCCGTCATCACTGATTATAATCCGGTCGAAGTAAGCTTGTTAAGTTTTTCTGTCTTTATTGTTTTTGCGAGTGCATCGGCAGTTAGAAATTTCTGATTATCAGCATTTCACAGGGTCTGCATGCTCTGGTCTATGATAAGGGCACAAACAACGAGACATGGGAATGGGTCAATTTAAAAGAGGTAAGTTGATTGCTTTTATGATGCCACAGCTACTTTGGTTCTTTAAGTGATCAGAAATGAAGTGTTTTCTTCTTATTTTTGCAAAAAGTATGTACATGCTGTGCTGATGGCAGTTATAGCATTGGAATTTTGCCTCTTATGTTAGCTTGGTCATTGCATATGTCTAATGTTCACATTATTTCACAGTATGCTCTAAGTTGAAAATTTGTGGTGATCCACCATTATGAGCAGATGCGTGAAAAAATGGATTGACGTTTTAGGACTTGTCATAATGCATTGCTAGCCAAAGCACTCTCTGCAGTCTATGCTTATTAGTTATATTGAAGATGTCCAAAATATTTGGTGATATTTACTGGTTATCTTTGTTTGTCAAATTTGTGGTGAGTCAGCGACCATTGGATTGATTAGGGATGATCGGCTAATCTGTTATTCTTCTTCAAGACATTGACTGTATGATTGTAGCTATTATTGTCGTATTTCTTGAGTTTGTTTACCTTGCATTATCTTACACATTTTTTCGTAACTTACTGATAGAGTTAGTACCTATAGCTGCCATCTCTTGGTTTGTAAGCCTAATTCAACTTAAATAAGGTCAGGTAGAGTTTGAGACTATGCAGAAAGCCCAAGAGCCCCTAGAATAAGATGGAAATTTTATTAGACAATTATTTTTCTTTTGAGTTCGTGATGCCGAAGTTTGCCAGAATTAGAACAGAAGGATGTTGTTGTTTGAGGTTCATTTTCCTAGGGTAATTGAATGTAATGGACTCAAAGAAGTACATTTTCTCCTTATTGTATCTTTTATTTCTTTCATCTATTTAGTTGTTAGTTGTGCGCTTCCACATTTACATAAATGAAGTAAAGATAGGATTTTGCTTTAGCCCAAAATTATTCTGCTAGCCTGTGGTTCACTTCAACACACTTAACTCAGAAGGTATCCTTCCAATGTGATGGTAAAAATGAAGATTTACAACAAAAAGTATGTATATTGTTCAACATGAGAATCATTATATTTATAAAAAAAATCAAAACCAACGAATAATTTATGAGCTTGCTAATTTTGATTTCATCAATGCTTCAACTTTTAATTTTAGGGCTTACCCGATTGCAGATTTCCCCTGAAGATATAAGATGGGAGGGTGAGGACCCAGATATTAATTATCAGCCTGGGCAAGGTGCACCAGGTCGCAAGATCAAGAAATCCACTGGCCGTGCTGACGCCATTCCAGGTGCCGGAAGGGGAAGAGAAACTATCAAGAATCAGCCTAAGAAAGATTTTCTGACGTCTCAAAATGGCGTCAGCAAGAAGAACACTGGCGACATCGAGATACTTCACACTGAGACTCTCATAAAGGAAGTATGTTTTCTTAAAAGTTTAGTGAACATGGTTTAACAGTCGGTCAGTGTTTTTTTCTCATGTAACAGAATCTTCTGTTTCCTGTTCCAATCAGGTGGAGAAGGTTTTTGGCGCGAGCCATCCTGATCCTCTTCAGATTGAGAAAGCAAAAAATGTGTTGAAAGTACGAAAACCATGCCAACTTTCAGTACTCAGCAGCTATGTGTTTTTATGGATAAAAATTGAGGTACTCATGTTTGCAGGAGCATGAACAATCACTAATCGATGCAATTGCAAGACTTGCCGATGCATCCGACGGCGAAAGAGGTAATTATGCGTAAAACCCATTATTCTTTTTTTAAGTTCTGAATGAGATCCTTATGCATCTAAACCTATTTTATTATATGCAGTTAATGATAATCTTTTGTGTTTCTAAAGCTTTCCACATACAGTAAAGCAGAACCAGTTGGTCTGGTTGAGATATGTATTCATTCAATAGGCTGGTTATAGAAATTGGTATCGATTGCTTACTGATTCATGTAAAGCATAACAAGATTAATGGTATCGGTAGTTAATTCTTTTCCTTTCTTTGGCGTACTCCCAATTACTAAATCGAAGATAGTACACATGAAACTTCCACTGCATGTTGTTTTTGGTGGTTCTAGGAGACCCAGGTGCTTTTGATATCTGTATGTATCAACACTTGACAGCAGCGACTCTTGACAAGTTGCCGTCTACAACCATGCTGAAATGTTAGTAGTCTAAAAACCTTATTTGTGGGACAAACATGCTTTCTTTTGTTGTGGCAGAAGACGACGAGCACCAGTTTTCACATGAGCAGTACATGGAGCGAGATGGGGAATGGAGAAATGAGCAGTACGGTGGGAAGCAGCACAGAGCTAATCATCATGAGGACGACATGATTACAGGTGAAGGTGGAGAAGACTCGGATGGCCATCATTTGATCGGGGATGGTGTCGCATCAGGCTACCAGCATCACGGTGACAATGATGACACGTAACTGTATCTCTCCCGCTGCCTTTAGACGCCTGCCCCATGGCTGTACTAAAGCAAATTTGCTTCCTACGCCGAAGAAGAAGCGCATATTCTTTTGGCCATCTCTGAGGGAAATATGCCGAGGAACTGTGCTTCCTAATATTGTTTTATTTATAGCTTTGTAACTTTGTAAATGCTTAGAACGGTTGCCATGTTTTAGCATTGATGTAGTTGCACAAATGCATCCTCAGTTATGGTAGCAATTATTCACGAGAATCAATATTTTCTTTTTCTTTTGGGATAAAATATAGATACAATAGGTGACGTTAGCCTCGTGGCTACCCGGTAAGGTATGGCCCATATGATAAAGCACTTGGGAAGAGAGGAGTTTGTATCTGATAGTCCTCTCACATTTTGATGATATATGTGTTGCTCATCTTGCGGATAAAAAAAGAAGAGAAGCTTGTACGGTTTTCTGAGACTTACTTTCCAACTCCAAACACAACAAGGGATAAAATGTTCCGTCAAAAGTAGCTGCATCTCTACATCGGTGGGAAATGGGGAACTCCTTCCGGCAGCGGCATTTTGACTTAACAAAATCGACCACGCTATTGCTGATGATCCATCATCATTGACCACCGACCGAAACCTACACATTCATGAGGTTATTGAAAAGGTATCAGAAGTTGCAATAATGCACTAAACTGAATTGTAAATCTCAAATCTGGTATCATACAAAAAAAAAAAACAGTCATTTCAGCAAATGCTTGTACTACAAAAAAACACTGGAAGATGATGTTTTCGCGAAACCTGCAAAGTTTGCAAATGCTCTGACAACAGTGCTGTGTACTTGCTTTCAATTTCTAGTGAGAACTAAAATGCATTCTGTATTATGTATTTATGTATCAAGATTACACGATATTGACCGTGTCATGGATGCTTTTAGAAACCGCAGTTGCCATATATTGAACTGACAGCTTCATGAATCATGGAGAACGTGTGGATGTCTGTCAAAAAATTAAATCATCGAGCAGTCAAATTAAATAAAGTCGAGAAACAAACTGTCCTTCTGTGATATAAAGTATGCATGTGTTTGTGAAAAAGTAGAATTATTCAGATGCTCGTATAAGTAGAGTTATACATTCAAGTGATTATCGATGGAAAGTCCATGCTGTTTTATCTCTTCCTCTTTCAACAATAATACTATAGACTTCACATCATCGAGATTCCAAAATTCATCACTATCATGAAAAACTTCAAATACAAAACTCTAATAGCTAATTAATCCACTCAAAGCACGGAAGAAACTAAGCACAACCACACATTGAAGTTGCAAGTTAAAAAATGTCTAAACCAAATGAAGGCCACAGATGTAAAGATGAGAGATGATAGAAAATGCACCTCAGTAACATAATAGCTCGACGAAGTCCATGAAAATGTTAATATATGCTTTTGAAAGATAAGAGATGATAGAAAATGCACTTCGGTAACATAATAGCTCGACGAAGTCCACGAAAACGTTAATACATGCTTTTTAGGATCCATCCATTCGCTGACTGATCGCCTTGCATCCTTGTTACCGATATATATCTTTCCCATACATACTACAACAAGAACTAGAGGGCTTCATCATCAACATTTGTAAGGGGGTGTGACACGTGGACAACTGATGTCATATCCTACTCTGATGCCTCGTCAACTTGACATGTAAGATGAGTGACTAATGCAATCGATACAATGGTGCCAACCGCAATGCCTGATAGTTTATGTGACTAATCATGCCAAGTAATGTCTGGCAATGTTGTGAAACCGCTCCCACAATGATTACCAAGTTACGATTCAAGTGCTATCTCACCTAGAATCCTTCGAATCCTAAATCATGCTTTTTAACCTTTGTCAGGCATGTACCCGACGTAATTTTTTTACAACATCCTTTGTTGGATCCATTAATCTCCCGACACCAAGTATGCAACAAATTTGTAATCAAACCAAGGATGGCTCCGAATCTTGGACATCTTGGACAATCGAATCCAAAATCACGCTTCTTAACCTTTGTCTGGCATGTGCCCAATGTAATTTTTTTACAACATCCTTTGCTGGATCCATTTATCTCCTGACACCAAGTATACGACAGACTTGTACTCGAACCAAGGTTGGCTTCGAATCTTAGACATCTTAGACAATCGAATCCTAAATCACACTCCTTAATTTTTACAACATCCTTGTGACAAACTTGGAATCGAACCAAGGTTGGCTGAATTAGACAATCAAATTCTTCTTTAACCAACACAAAGCAAAAGGAACTATAATGACCAAGCAAGTCATATAATTCGGTAAGCTTCCTACTGAACTTATCATCTGTTTACAATAACATCACTGACGAGAAAGCATACGCAAATAAGAAATAGAGAAGGGATTTAATTGATTCGATTCTTCTCTCTTGCTCTCTCGTGAATGACTGCAACTGACTAATGTCTATAACAGATGAAGCTCATCATTAGCATATTGACATGTATTTCGAGGATTCACATCTATCAACATGTGATTGGACCGGCGATACAAACAACAGACAAAAGAGAGAAGAATAAACTGATGAAGAAAGTAGTATAAGCAGATAATCTTACCAGCCACTATCAGCAATAGTAATGGAAATTTCAGTTTCATTATGTTAAACTTGGACCAACACAAAGATAGTCAAGCATTTCTGTGAATCCAGTTGGTTCTTTCGAGGGAAACAATAATCCATCTGTCCATCGGAAGATGATACAGAAAGATCTACAAAAACAAGAACCGGATCATCCCATGCTGAGGATTCATCTGGACAGAGGGATCGAATTCCGCGATGGTATATCCCTAAATTACTAAGTAAAATCAACGCAAAGCAAAGCCCTGATCCGATAGATCTCGCGATCGACTGGTATTTCACACAATTAATTCAAAAGATTTAAAGAATTCATCGAGATATTCCATGGATTACATGCATTGACGATCGGAAAAAGATGGATCAAATTAGCCAAAAGCAACGCAGCGATGATCGCGGAGGAAGAAGAAGAATCGCGCACCTGTTGATGAGCTCTTTCTTGATCGGGTTTGGCCTCTGGCGAAACCCTCTCGAAAGATTCATGGTGTAAATAGGGTTTGAATAGATCCATGGGGGAGAGAGACGGAGAGAGACGAGAGAGAGAGAGAGAGGGGTAGACTTTGATGCTTTCTTTCTCCGGGCGAGGAGACTTCCGATTGATGAGAAGGAATGAGACGCGTTGCGGTTGGGGAATAAAGAGGGAAGACGTGCCTGAATTAGGTCTTAAAAAGGGATTTTTATTATATATTTATATTTATCTAATTTTAAAAATGTTTATAATATCTCTTCGGTGAACCCTCATTAACCACTAATGATAATGATCATGATGTTAATAACCACTTGAAATTAAAAAAAATGATTATCTTTTTAAAGATTAATTTTTCTTTCACCATATACTTTCATTTCCAAGAAAAAAATAAGTAGTCCATAAATCGTATTTGAATATAAAAATTTAAAATTTAAAAGGTAAATAATAAGTGATCTAACAAATTCTTTATATGTCAGGTGATTGAGAATGAATGACTTGTTCCAGAATCGTCTCGTGTCTTCTTCTTGGGAGAGTGCTACTAGTGCCTTCCTATAATGGCACGAAACACCAACGTATGTTTTACCCGGAAATGGAGGTGAGTTTGAGGGACCCAACAGATGGGTCCCACACTGTGGAGGGGAACTATTAGAAGACATTGTCTACCCTTAATACAAGGGAGAACACAAGCAAATGAACATCCAAAGTCAAAAAAGCTACATGATGCTAAATATTCTAATCCAACAATCAGGGCTTTTTGATGACCCCTAAATGATTCCAAGTCCTATTTACCTGCAACAAGACAATCATCCCGCTCTCTATTCGATGACGATGATGATGCCGCGGTCGTTAAAAACAAAAAAGGACATGGAGAGAGCCTTCTGCTTGTCTCGCCCCCTACTATTACGCAGAGAGTGTTGGGCTGTCGATTGCAAGTCCCATCGTATTCAACCCGTTGTCCACGTACACGACTGAACCGGTCACCGCTGAGGCCAGAGGAGAGACGAAGAGTGATGCTGTGTTGCCGACTTCATCTGTAAAATGTAATTTGGATTGAAACATGAAACACAACCCTTCGGCTTGATCAAAAGAAGATAGGGACGAACTAATAAGTGTTGAACATGACCTGCAAGCAATTCTTTCTGCAGTGGCGCATTGGAGTAGGAGTAATCTATCATCTTCTCGATGAATCCAACGGCTTTTGCTGCTCTACTTCGCAGTGGCCCTGAGCACATGTTTGACCAAGTCGATCAGCAAGGAAACACTTAAATATACATACTTTTATAGTGAATGATTGCGACTGAACTGATCTAGTAAAACATGATTGATAAACAAAGATAATAATGAACCACATCATGCCTAGTACAAAATCATGAGGGGAAAAAAGAACAAAATCACGAGGGAAAAAAGGAAAAAAATCAGTGAGATTTCTAACTGAAATAGCTAAAATCTTTCAGGAAAAGAATTAGATTAGAATGATTAGTCTTGTTTGTAACACCGAGGAGAGGCTCACAATTTTTAACCTAACTATGATTTATGAAAAGACATACCTGCAGATATTGTATTTACTCTGATTTGGCCTTTTCTTCCAGCTTCAGACACCAGCACCTACAGCCAGAAACAAATGTGATAAAAAGTTAATGCAAACAACAGCAGTAAATGCATTAACGAAAAATCTAGATACTTCATGGAAAGTAAGGTTTACTCGGTTATCACTCTCTAAGGCTGCTTATGCTGAACTCATTCCACCTCCATATCTGCAAGTTGATACAGCAACTAAATACACAAGTGTAAGCATTATATTAGCTGATTTTGACGAAGAAGTTAAAAACACGTTATACCCTGTGATGGTTCTTTCACAAGCAATGTATGTTAGAGACACTGAAGCACCGCCTGCCATATTGAGACACTTTAAACTTAAGCAGACCAAATTGCCAAACAGAAGTAACAAAAGACAAAGATGTCAAGATTCACCAGCAGAAAAGAAAAATAAATGGCAGAAGCATGAAATCCGGGCAACTTTTGAAAGGAATCTAAAGAGTGTGTTGGTTTACTTTGGGCAATTATAATGTATTATATGGGGCCAAAACAACCTTGTTTAGTTGAAAATGTTTGATTCGGTTACTTTCGATTTTGAATTGTATTTTCTTTAGCTCAAAAAATTTCAGATGATTCCAATCCTTCTTCCTCTACACCCAACCCTCCTCATATTCACCTGTATCTGCTTATAGAATGCTCCTTTATTATTATGCTGCTTTCACTATGATAATAAAGATAAAATTATCATATAGGGCTTCTACTGCAACATTCTTGGCTTGCAAGGTAAGCTCATTCCTGGATTGGAAGGCTTAGCCAAGAGTTGTCTAATAACAAAAAGGAACACATACTGTCAGACTTCTCTTGAAACACACGCAATATAATATGACATGTTCAAGTGTTTATTTAAGGAAATGAAATAAACCTGGATTCATTATCAGAAGGAAGTATTGGAGTAAGGAAATGAAAGAATAACTAGATGCCGAGATTGCAGCAAGATATCCTCTTCTTGATGTCTCTAGAAGCAGCTTGGTTACCTGTTTACAGAAATTATTATTTTCACACTGTATGTATGTATGTATACTTGGCCTATACTTGGAGAACCTATACTTGGCATTCATCGACATAATCACTCCATCAAGTTACAAATCATGGAGAACCTATACTTGGCCTAATAGAAGAATCAAATAAAAACAGTCATGAATGCGTATGATTCTAATAAAATACATACCGACATGAGTTGTCAAACTTGCCACGCCTTAAGCTTGTCTCAAAAATGTTTAGGTCCTGCAGATGATACATAAGGAAATTCAATTGATTACCCAATATAACAGTAATATCGGTTGGCATGCAAAATCACATACAGGAACCCATGTTCCGACAAGAATTTCTGCCCCAGCAGCAGCAAGAGCTTTTGCAATTGCCCATCCATAGCCATTGTCATCAGCCACTCCAGCAATAAATGCCCGTTTTCCTGAAAAAACAAATAAGTATGCTGATGAAGCTTACTGAGGAAATAAGTATGATCGTAATGCTTATCAGGGATGAAGTGGCATGTCATGTATTAGAATTGGAGATACGTCATCTTGAAACAGTTAATTTACACGAATATGAAATCATAATGCCATATCATCAGTTCAAAAATAAAGCAGCAATTGTGTTTCATAAAGTGGTTTTCCGAACATGCATTGTCAACAAATAAACATCCAGCATATAATTGTCATTAAAAAAAGAGAGGAAAACCACTTGGGTGAGTCTGAAAATAACAGTTACCGAGAATCATGAGCAAGATAATCAGTGATGGATTCATGCAAGAATGTGACTCAGATGGATTAAATTGTGTGGACCAGACCATGACTTGACTTCAACAAAGCGAATCATATAGACAAGAACAATGTATGCTTAAGTTAGTCATCCAGATTTTCATCCTGGGACATATATAACCTTCACTTGAAAGATGCACATTAATATTGATTGTCATACCTTGAAGCTGTAAATGTTGTTAAACTCTAGGACAGTTGAGAATAAGGTGTGCAAGTGGTCTTCACTTGCCATTTTGTAAGGAAGTTAATAACACCAGATATTGCTTATGGTGCACATCAAGACATTCTTTTAGCTTATTAAACCTTAACCCAAAACAAGATTATAAGTTTCAGTTGCCATATCTGCTATAAGACATAATCAATCCTGCATGTATCTTAAAATATTATAAACAAAAAAGGGGTAATGAAATGTATTTCACCAATTATGCCATCAAAATCATTTCACCTATTTTTAGCCGTTGAAATATTCTCCTAAGCACAAATAATTCAAAATGCGCGGAAATTGTTAGCAGTACCACCACTCACTAAACTTGTAAGGGCACCAGAAATCATCTGATAGCTGGTAATTCCAAAGATATGGGATTAAGGGATAAGGCAATAAAATGTGGCAAGTTACATTTGGGTCAAGATTTCTAGGTGCTACAAAAGGTAACCCGGAAAAGCTTTAAGCATTAATATTTAGTACAATACCATGTTGGTGCAGAAAGGTGAAGATATGAATAAACAGTTTCTACTAAAGGAAGAAGACAGAAATGACAAAGTTCACTTAATCCCACAATAATTTAAGTAAAAATCTACAAAATTTCAGACAGACACATAAGACGCATACAACAATTCTGATACCAACCTGAAACCCTTGTCTAGCAGAACCAAAGCATTTCTAACCTAACACAGATTCTGAATGAAACTCCTTTCTTACTTCATTTTAGCAATGAGAGAATCAACCTCTGCCCCTTTCGTTCCTAACATGACACAGAAAGGTTCATCCCTATAACAAAAGAGATGTGGGAAAATATCAAGAAAACCCCACTTCTAAGTCAATTGAAAAGATTTTTCACAAAATAGGAAATTGTTACAATATAGATAACATAAATTGTTGTAGACACACAAAATATGCACCAAAGATACAGGGATAATTTCTCAAGTCAAGCAATGCAACACCTCTGAGATCAATAGGCAACCCATTGCCCTGGGAACAATTCTGTGATACTTTGAAGAGGAGGATGGGTATCTCTCAGGAAGACCTTGAAGAGAGATGTTTGACAATTTTGTTAATCCTTGACTGGCTACTTTCGGGTTGAACTTGGAAGCTGTTGCTCTTGACATGAACGTTCTCTGGGGAGAAGAAATGCAAGGCCATGCTGCCACCACTTGCAAACCAGCAACTGGTGATGCTCCAATTATTCTTCAGATACCAAATAAGCCTGCATGATCCATGATGGAAGACAACGGCTTAGATCAAACTACGACGGCAAGGATGCCAAAAAGGAGGATGAGAAAGAAGGAAGCGCCACCTTCGCTTTAAAACATCGCATTCACCTCAAGTTGCAGCAGCAGCGGAGAGATCGAGGTGGAGGGAGCAGCAGCAGAGACGAGGCGCGGCAACCCTGTTCGCGTCGTTGAGCTGCCAATGCCAGCGATAGGTTTGGTTAGGGTTTGCGCCGAGATCTGGCGGAGCTCAACCCTCCTCTAAGTTTGATCTCATGCACTCGGCACCATCTTAGGTAAAATTATATATTACATAATATTCAAAATATGTTTTGAGCTTTTGTCCGTCTTTTTCAAAAATATTTTTTACTTTCCATCGAAA